TCTCTCTTCAGCCACGGTCCAAGCTACCCCATTCCTAAATTGTTTATTTATTTATTTATTTATTTAAATTGTGTGTGTCTACATCTTTCCCCCTGCAGATGGAAGGACCCTGTCAAGTTTCACAACAAAAACAGACTCCTGTTGAAACCACTCAATGCTAAGCACTCCTTCGTTTTCACTTGGAACACGTAGGGAGACCGTTTCTTATGGCTTAGAAGTCAGCAGCCGGGGGTATCAAGGCCAAATCCTACCTCTCTGGTAGCTACAATTGAGAATCATGATGCTGATCAAATTGTAAACTGGTTCCAGATGCAGTTGCTCCTACAATGAGGCTTAATGGGAGGGAGGCTGGCTTCCTCCCTTCCATCTCCTCAAAGCTGTTCTCCCATACAACTGACCCAACTCTTCCAAAAGCCTCATCTGTTAACCACGAGATGATAAAAGCAGTGATACAAATATAACCGCTAGGCAATATTCCCTCAGGTTTTCTCCCATCGTGCCACATTTCCTACATCTGCCTCAATATAAAGTGAAATCTACAGCAGAACAAGCCGATACTTACAAGAGTGTGGGGGGAAAAAAGCAGCTTTAAATTTTTATAAAGGCAGCACAACGCATTCCAACTGTCAACATAGTCTACATGAATAACAGCAATATTTCATAACATAAAGAAAGACACGTTAGTGCAATCCAAAGGGAAGATAACACAGATGAAGGACAGAAATCTTAAGATAAATACACTCAACCCAAGAACAATCAAAGAAAGTTCTATCACATAACACTGAAATGCAGGAAAGGCACAGGTTTTTTTTAAATGTTCCTGCTCTCTACATTCCTTTTCGGAACTGCTTGTGCATGTATAAATGGATAGAAAAAAAGGAAGGGAAACAAATCTGCTGAAGGAGATACACAAAAACAAAAAAAAAAGGATATATATGTATTAAGACTTAAGTAAGCAGCCTCAGTACATACAATATTGCATATATTGAGTGACAAGGCTTGGGTATTAAATTAAAAGCTGGAAAGGAACTGGCAACCCTTCCTATCCATTTTCTCCAACAATAACAACAACGACAACAAAATTATTCTGGTATATATATATGTATGTATATATGTATAGTATTGAACATTAGTGCACTTTTAAAAATCATACTAGTAAATAAAGGTGCATTTATAAAACATATTTCAGTCTAAAGGTGTGTGTTGCAAGAGGTCTGTATGTTAATACTGTTAACAGGAAGAAGGGAAGCCGTCAAATAGCACTGCCAATGAATGCTAACAAATTGTGTGCCATCTACCCATCTTTTATTCTAGAGCTTCAATGTTTTGCTAGGTGGGAAAGTGGGAGATGATATGGTTATCTCTCTCTATACTTCTCCTTGCAAATAAACTCCACTCTTATAAAAGAAAAAAGCAGATGCCCAGAAATGATATGCTATTTGATATTAACTGATGAAAAAAATTGGCTAACTTAGAACAGACTGGGGGGGGGGGGGAGATGCAATGTATGGAACAGCCCTTATTTTCTGAGAAATTTAGCAAATTTTGGGACAAATGTTCCTACATAGTTGGCTTAAGACGATGAAATAGAGATTAATAATATCAGTGAATGCAGCCTAAGATGTAAAGATATCTTTGCAAAAAGAGTCTACAGAATTTATTGGCCCTCAGCAAATCCACAATGGTGTGATCCTTTGGGCGTATCTGTACTAGACAATATATCGAAAGAAAGGAAATTCTATCTAGCAATTCACTGCCTGGTTGCAAAAATGAGCTCATAGGCTATTTATACAGGAGCCTTTGCTGTATATAACAATCAAGCTTTTTAATATGTCCATCATAACGTAAAACAGCTGATCACTTGAAATGGTTAAAGCATTTTGCACAAAAACTTTCCACAGCTTCTCTTATGCTATGCTTCCTGCAATTTGATATTAACCAAATCCGCTTTTCCCTGATCGCATTCAGTTCTCGAGTTGCCCAAACGACTTCTGAATATCCAGCTCAAACTGAGCAATTCTTTGAGAAAAAAATATAATGCTGAACTAATTAAGTATGTTTTCACACCCCAAAATAGTCCATCTTGCTTCAGATTTTCAGAATCCAAACCGAAAGTCTAATTAATTAGTCTTCTTGCCAAAAAGGCAGCTTCAGACATCGGTACATGAGGCCCAGGACTACTATGTAGATGGCCTGAAGCTCATTATAAGGTAAAGACTGTAACCTTTATGCAAAAAAAAAAAAACAAAACATAAGACTGAAAAAAATTTCCTGGCTAAGGAGCAATATCTCTTGCTGCTTCTGTAATACAAGGATAATGGAGGTGAGCAACCCACTGTCAACTGTCTTAATAATGAAGCAGCAGCCTACAGTTTTCCATCCATGTAAATTCAGCTAAATTATATCACAAAAAATTCATATCAAACGTTCTTTCCCAGAAATATGGACAATGTGCTCATAACTCAATATTGAAATGAAGTATGTCCCTGCAGTGTATTTTAATGGCTAATTAATGGTTAATTTTCTCAACCTGATATGCCTACCCTAAAGATACATTCAAGTATGCAGTAGGAAATATTAAATATTTGGTGTGCTTGCAGGTTACCAGCATTCATTTCCTATAATTCCTTAAGTTTCCAGTATCTAATTGGAATTAGGATTTAACTGATCATTTCATACACTAAAGATCACTATTAATAGGAAAAAAAAACCACAACAGATACATTTTAGCTGTGAAGGACATGGAGCCATATCTAAGAAGGACATACATTTTAGCTAAGAAGGACATGGAGACATGTCCTGTTTAGGAGACATACATGTATGAAACAAACAAAAAAAACTTGCAATGGGAAAAAATACCTAATTATAAAATTTTGGAAACAATGGTAATAACAAAATAGAATCCAACTTTTAACACAACTCTTATCAAAGATTTCTTGAAACTCATTAAAATTCTTGATGTTGCAAATAGTGTTATAAGAAATGTTTCAAATAAAAAGTGTAGACTAGTTTGAAGATCCTACATGATTTTTTCTTTAAATTATCTTAGCCAGAAAGCCTGCACATGGCAACAAATTACACAGCTCCTGAATTCAACAAATTACACAGCCATACTTGACTCCTCCATAAGAAAACTGGTATTTATTTAGATGCAAATACCCCATATTTCAGTAGGAAACAGAGGCCACTAACTTTCTTTGGCTTTCTTGATATGTTTCTTGATATTCCATTTTTTAACTTACAGAAATGCATGTATGGGCATCAAAATCAATGAAATATTTAAGTTACAAAGCCTTGAAGTTTAAAAGAATTAGACTTTGCATCGGACATACTTATCATTTCTGCGCAAGTAGATCAGACTAGGGAGATAAATTCAAGGTGCTTTCAGGAAAGGTGAAAAATATAAAAGGCTAATTTAAAAAAATGAAATAAAGCTGATCAAAAACCTCAATAACAACTAATCAGAAAGGAGAGTTAGTGAAGAGACTGAAAGCTGAAAAAGAAGAGAAGATAGATCTATTTATGAAAAATTACATTCAAGTTTTTTTTTCAGGCAAGACTAAATAATCAGGTTTCATTCGATTACCGTAATAGTTGGCAGAAAAAACATCTTCAGGTATGAGTTTTGCTTTGTTTTTGCACACAAAAACACAGTAGTAGCCAATTAACAAGCTAACTCTCAAAAGAGTAAGTACTGTACAGGCTTTATCAAAATAAGGTTAATCAACAAAATCTGATTATTATTTTTTTGCATCAGCACAAAAGGCATGATGACTACCTAATAAATTTTCTTATGGGTGTAAAGATCTACCAAAGGAATTAGCCTTATACTGATTATTAAATGATTTTTCTGCAGCAGGGACAACATCTGGCCTACTTTTATCAAATATTGGAAACATACTACAGAAGGACCAATGGCATCACATTTTATTTTTATCGCATTTACATGAGTGGATTTTAAAAACTCATTTCATGTGCTTAGATGGTAATGAGTTAAAAACAAGTATCAGAAAGTTATTGTGCACAGTATAAATGTATTAACAAAAATTATCCATACCTAAATAAATATGGTGATAAAATCCAGATGCATTCAGGATGAAAAACAGAGTTGTTACCTTACCTGCTTTGACCCAAAGAGCCAAAAGGCTCTTGAAATATTCTTAAGAAGTCAACAGAAGCTTATATTTAGAAAAACAAAAAGCAAAATAATCTCTCTACTGAAGTCTTCAACAAAACCTCTATCCATATGGAACTGTTTAACTTGAGTTAATCCCAAAGATTTGAGAAGGGCGCGATAGCTCAGAAACCAGAATTCATCCCTTGCAGAATCAGAGAAACACTAATCCTGCTTCTGATAGATCGATAACTGCACAGGCATGAAATATCACTTAGCACAACCGGTTAGCAAGTTTACATATGAGAATGATCTTAACTACCCGAAGAGATCAATGCCAATGTCAAATGGGTTCATCCTTCTTATTGACCTATAAAAAACACTTCTCAGTAATGGAGGGCATTTTTTTTTAAAAAAAGCAGCATTTAAACAATCAACCAGATAAAGCCAAAGGAAATGAAATAACAGCAGCATAAGATAAAGCCAAAGGAAATGAAATAACAGCAGCATCAGATAATTTCATGAACATGTCTCATCGGGTTCTTACAAATTCTGCCAGCATGTCTATCTAATCTTTGCAAGTAATGTTACACGTCTTTCTATGTAGCACTGTTGCAAATTGCATTACCCAATTCAAACGGATCAAATTAGTGTGAAAAAGAGGCATATTTCTTTCAATGCACCGGTAGCCTTGGGAAGAATGCAATACCGTTTAGCCACGGGACAAGTTAAATTTGTTTTCATCCATTATAGGGCTTTTGTTAAGAGATGACACTTGCATATGAAAAGGGGTATGGGAAAAATTCCATTAATACCCTCCCATTGGTTGTTTTTCAACATTTTGGCACATTAAAAGACAAAAGGAAGACTCCAGAAAAGAAGAAAGTTAAAAAGAAAAGTTCTCTTCTGGAAATGAGACATGAAGAGACAATACTGAAAGAGTGCTGGCTAAGTTTTCCTGAAATACAGTCACTTATAACAGAAGTAGGTCTTGATTCCAGGATGGCTTCCAGTCAAAAGGCAAGGCAAGGACTCTCTCTACCTTGCTGTGGCTGGCTGGACATGGCCTGAATAAGCTCTCCTTGTGCTGGTGGCTTGCCTTTGCCTAGCTAGGAAAGACTGTCCTGAACCAGTACTAGCAAGTCTGTCTTCTACTGCTTTTTTATGAAGAGTCATCCCCTGTAGAGAGAAAGAGATGAACAGAAAAGGCATGCAGTATTAGTGTGGGAAGCAACCAGGATGCACTATTTCTTCGCCAAACCTATTAGGTCACTCCGCTGAACTGTTTCCAGTAAAAGAAATCCAGGTTTTCTTGGATTAAGCGGATGGTCTTAGACACACTTCATCTGTCTTTCAGAAGAAAGAATGTTTTGGTCATCCTGGGGAAGCTCCCTTATGTTAAAAAACAGACAGGGAAATATAACCCTCCTGATTCTCTTGAAGGTTCTACACATCAATCATGGTCCTTTCTGATTTTCTTATTCTAAATTGGGTGCCCCCTTACAACAGTTCTCTTTGGTTGCTTCCAAAAGTGGACCTCTCTTCCAAGACAACAATGCCAAAGGGTTCCTCAGTATTCATTTTAGTTTTCCATGCCAATTCCATGAAACTGCTGAGGAGGCAGTTACATAGGATGAGGGCTGAACTGTATCAATATACAGACAATACGTTCCTTAACATCTTGAGGCTGCGTTGAAGTGGAAAAATATCTTTCAAAACTGAGTATTATACAGAGAACAATGTTCTTCAAACAATTAAGATACTAGGGGACACATCACCTTTGCAGTCTAAATGTCAATTTAGTTCTGAAAAACATACTATAGAAGTGAAGCAATTCATTAAACTTTGCTGGCATTCTTATTTTATCATCTGAACTCTACTTACCATATTGTACCAGGCACTGACAATGTATCTCTCCTCCATTTCTCTTTGACTCTTTGTCTTTTCATATTCTTTCTATTGGGAAAAAAAGTATTTCTCATGATTTCACATGCATACTATAATGGAAATATACTGTGCTCAGCGCTCAAGTCCCTATTTTCATTTCTGTTGTGTGGAATGGTGGCAAACTGTGGAATTTTAAATTATTCATGAAATTGTATACAGTTATTAATTTTCATCATGGAAGCTCATACTTCAGATTAACAGCTCAAGATAAAAAACATAATGGTTGTTTTTCATGTGCTTAATGTAATTGCCAAGAAGATTCAATTGTGTGTGCTTTTATTCAAGATAAGATCTACTGATTTTGAGCAAGGCTTAATTGGGTTTAAATATGCACAAATTTCATAGGAAATTACCTCTAAGGAACGGAACATCCTCTCACGTTCCTGTAGTTGATTGTTCAGTGCCTGAATTTCAGGTGCTGAACCTTGGTTCTGTTTGGGATCTAAGGTACGGATGACCTGCAAAAGGAAGAATCACATGCTAATAAGGTAACTCCAAATAGGAACACAAGAAGTTGAATATTTGTTCATCTACTCCAGAACCATCTGTTCTGATTGATGCAATAATCCAGGGTCTTGGACAGGAAAAGGTCTAAGCAGGTGACTGCCAGATTGAATCTAAGATCTTTTGCATGCAGAAGTTGTGTTACATTATTGAGACGGTATATCTTTGGCAAGTTATTTAGAATTGCTTAAGTTTACAGAGTCTACAGAACATCCAGAAATATATAAGTTTTAGTTTTATAGGAATTATGAACAGCATAAGCATTTTATCACACGGTAGAACTGATCGAAGTTTATAAAAATAGTCAATTTAAATACTTGGGAACATATGAAGAACCTAGCCTAGATTTCTCTTCCTTCATATTCCTATGAATATATATTAGGGGAAGGGAGGGAAGGGAAAGGGAGAGGATAGAAATTAGAAGAAATTAGCTACCACACAATGTGATCTTAAAAGTGTTTTGTCATGAAAACGAAAACCATCATTATTATCCCTCCAAGGGGTAGCTCATTGTGTGGAGGGCCTGCATGCTCTAGTGACGCTGTTGAACGGATACAATCATATCAGACAGATCTTAGCTGAAGAGTCTGACTAAAAGTGTTCCAAAAAAGCCATTTGGTATGGTGAGAATTTATAGTTCGAAGTTCATGCCAGATCGAATGTTGCCTGGATTAATGAAAGTCACACTGGATGCTATGACTCTTGGACATTCACTGAAAAATGTTCTAGAGCTCAGCTGCCTCTACTAGGCAACCAGGGCATGGATCTGACAGGCAAAGAGAAGGCAACAGACAGTGAAGAATTTGGTTGAAGGAAGAAATAGCACTTAGACTTTATATACTACTTCACAGTGCTTTCCAGCCTTCTCTAAGCAATTTACAGAGTCAACATATTGCCCCCAACAATTTGGTCCACATTTTATTGACCTTAGAAGGATGGAAGGTCAAGTCAACCTTGAGCTGATCAGGATTGAACTGTGGGCAGTCAGCAAAGTTAGCCTGCAATACTGCATTCTAACCATTGTGTCACCACAGCTCTTACTACTCAAAACTACTTAATTATGGAATGTTTCCATGAATCAGAAACATTGAAATGTGAATGTACCAGTTTTGAAAAGACATCCAATTTTTTGGTTAACAAACAGAGGTTTATGGACCAAATGGAATTAATTTTCAAACACAAGTTCTTTATCAATGCTGAATTGGAAGCAACTCAAAACCAAGCTATTCAAAATTTAGGTGTAGTTAGAACTACCAATAAAAATACCAATTTGCAGCGTTAGCAACAAACAAAATGTGAAAAGACTCTAAATCTTAATGGAGAACAACAAAGAAAAGAAACTTGAAGTTACTAAATAATTGCCAACTCTATTGGTTAATGAAGAACTAGTTGGGAAAATGAGCTGAATGAAAGAAGCCAAAGAATACATTTGTCAAAAATTTAAAAAAAATCAGCTAAAATAGAAACAAATATTAATGGAGCTGTCAAAAATATTCCAAATGAAACAATGACCCAAATCAACCAGATGATGTATGCCATAGTCTATGTAACTACTCAAGAATTGGAACTTAAAATATGAAGGCATTAAGAAAGCAAATCCTAAATGGAAAATTTGTGTAGCATTGAAGAAAAAGAAAATTTGCAATGGTTTTGAGCAATTTGTAGAATCTGAGGCAAAGAAATTTGAAGAATAAAAAAATCAAAAATAGCCTGTGCATGTACAACCTGGAGAACAAAGAAATTGCAGAGACTGCAGAATAATTGAAACAAAGAATTGTGGCCATTGCTGAGATCAACTGATACAACAATCAAATAATCTAATTCCATCAAAATTTTCAGTTTAGGGCAATAAATTCTACAAAATTTTTGAAAATGGGAAAAATAGACTACAAATAATAAAAAAATGTGGCAAAGAAAATGCCTTGAATTTTAGACAAGTTTATGGGAAAACAACAGGAATCACAATAAGAATGCAACATGAATCAAGCAAGTTGAAAACGAAGTATCCATTATGGAAGTCATCAGGATAACTAAGGAAATGCCTTGTGAGCTAAGATAGAATGGCAAATGATGGCTGACCTATAATAATTCATCACAAAGTGAAATATGTTTTTTTCACAGTCTACCTTTACCATATACCCATTCTGGTTTTGCTGGCTCTCATGTTTTCTCACTCTCTTTTACAATGAATCTTCAAAGCCAAGTAATTCCATATTTGATTTAATTTATGCTTTTGGACCTGGCTTGCTGAAGATCTCCTGTTTAGAATTCTCACTAATCAAGCAGTAGAACATCCTGAGATAAATTCTACTCAATCCAGCAGTTGAAATTCTCATTGTTAAATGTGGCAGGTGAAAGGGAAGATACCTTTGAGGACCATTCCTTGTTCAGCCCTTACCAAAATTCACAAAAAAATACAAAGTTGTGCAGCAAATGGTGATAGAGGAACAGTTAAATAACAGAAGCTGGAAGTGACAGTTCATAAATAAATTATCTTGCCATTCAAGGATCAATATAAGTATCTATCAATATCAATATAATTATATTAATAACAAATTGGGCTCTATTCATTCACCAATTTCTCATGGTAGTCAACATATTTGGGGATTAGAAGTTCTATTTTTTTTATACATATATTAAATACAGACACAAGCATAAACACACATTTATATCTATCTAGTCATCTTGGGTTTTAATTATTTTGAAAATAGGTTTAAATGAAATAATAAGACAATGTAATATAAAGCAGGGAAAGCTGCAGTTCAGAGGCTAATTATTAGCTAACCTATATTATGTTAGCATCATTTGACTCTGTCAAAGTTGTAGAGGGAGGACAATGTTAGCGAAACATGAAATACTTACACTTTTAGCTTTTTCCAAATATTTTTTGTATCGTTCTTCCATTATCTTCATTTCGTCTTCTTTTTTACACAAAGCTCCTTGCAATTCTTCTATTTTGAGTGCTTTATTTGGAGAAAATATTACATTTTAGAATAGTGCAAAGGTTTAAGAGTTTTGAGATGTTAGACATACTGAACAGCAGATTATAAATCAGATAAAATACAATGAAGGAACTTAAACATTAGAATATATATTTGTAACTACAAGGAATTCTAAAAACCGGGTGAAACCCAACTGGAGGTAGATAATTACCCATTTCTGTAGAAGTGGATGGCATCTACATTAAGCAAATATGTGTGTGGCAGCCTTGCCTTACAACCAAAGCCATATTTACAGTGAATGCATAAAGGTAATCCTTGACTTAAAACCACCATTGGGACCAGAATTTCCACTGTAATTCAATACAGTTGTAAAGTGAGTTGTCACATTACTAGACCCAATTTTACCATCATTTTTGACATTGTTATCATGCAAAACTTGACTCTGCGTACTGGCTGAGAAAGTCACAAATCATGCTCATGTAACAAGACATTGCCATTGTTGTAAATGTGAGCCAGTTGCTAAGTGCCCGAACTAAGATCAGATGACATCTGAGGTAATGCTTTCAAGGGTGGACCATAAACCACTTTTTCCAAGGCTGTCATAACTTCAAACCATTATTAAATGAATGGTTGTAAGTAATGTTCAAAAATCTACTTTGAGAATTGCCCAAGAGCAACCATAGAGATAGTCTTTGACCTACGACCATAACTGAACTCAAATTTTATGTTGCTAAGCAGGACAATTTTTGAGTTTTGCCCCATTTTACAATCTTTCTTGTCAGAGTTGTTAAGTGAATCACTGCAGTTGTTAAGTGAATCTGGCTTCCCCAATGACTTTGCTTATCAGAAGGTCGCAAAAGGTGATCATATGACCCCGGGACATGCCAGTTACCAAGCATCCAAACTGTGATGCTTGTAATCATAGGGCTGCTGCAATGGTCATAAGTGTCAAAAATGGTCATAAGTCACTTTTTTTAGTGACACTGTTAACTTTGAAAGGTCACTAAATGAATGGTTGTAAGTTAAGTATTATAATTTCCAAAGGAGTCTCTATGTATTGCAGGATGTTAAAAGAAGAAAACAGAGACGTTTATGTATATTTCATTTCTGCTATTGAGTGAATTACATTCAATGCATGTGCTACTCTATGACCCCAATAATAAAGGAACAATTAACCAAGTTTTATTTCTTTAACAATAATAAATACTACATAGAAACTAGCTGAAACATTAAGTCTTAGAATAAGAGCTGTGTATTCACAGCTTTGGGGGAATATAAGCAAATATCTTTGAGCTTTAAAAAAAAAATCAGTTGCAATGAAATCATTTGAAATAAAAAGAACTACTCACAACTATTGTTATAACGGGGTTCTAAATCTTCAATGATTTCCCGTTTCTTCTGAAGCTCATTATTAGCTTCATGCAGCTTTACTCTGCAAAAAAGAAAAGCATCTGCGCATAAAACAACCGCTGTGTCACTCTTGATTGGATTAACATTAAAGAGAGAAGAAATTAAGATACTATTAATTGTGGATTTCCACAAAGAAATAGAGTTTTGTCAGAAACTAGTATTAGCTACTAGTTATGTTTGTTCTGATTTTTGCTTTGGGCCACTGAGGATCCTCAGAATTAGGTGAAATGAAGGAAGAAGTAATGAAAGGAAAGAGACAAGGGAATGTGAACTTTAGAGACTGTGGATGTGGCTACAGATGATTTATGCCGGGTCTGAGAATGTTAAATGAAAAAAGATGTTGAGAAAGATGAAAAGTGGACGAACCAGGACCACGCCTAGTTCCGTTTCTGTTGATAAGCCTATGAGGAAGAAATTCTGTCCTTGGGAACCAACAAATGGTTGAAAGAGAATTCAGTAAGAAGGCTGCAAGCCATCATCATTAGCAGGGGAGCAAGAGGTCAATGGTGGAGGGAAGAGATAAGGCAACAATCAGCTCTGCACACAGAGATCCCTAAAGAGCTGTTTTGGGGTACCCAGGAAATTGCTGGGTTATCTTTGGAAAGCAAGGAAACTTTGGAGAGAGGCCCTGGGTAGGCTACTGCAGGAGAAGAGAAACCTGCATTTTCATTCAGTTCTCTTCTTCTAAGGTTTTCAACATTGTTTAGTATGGCTCCTAATAAGGTGCCCTAGTCCAATTATGACATTCAATCATGATGGCTGTAAGGACACTCAGGGTTTCATTAGATCTGCTAATCTCTCTTAGCCATTTATCTGATATGTATTAGCAATTAATCCGGTAGATAAATTTCTATCCATATATATGGTTGCATACTTGTATGGCTTGGAACTTTATTCCACAACCATAAAAAAATAAAGGTTTGTATATACAAGTATAGTATACTAAAGTACCATATACAAATATGTTAAGGCTATATACACACAGAGGGATAATAAATACTGTTAACAAACCTTGTCATTAAATGTCAAAACATTAATAGCTCTTCATTAGAAATCCCCTTTCTGTTAAGAGGTAGAAGTTATCAATATCATGCCAATAAATTAATTGAACTGAAAAGTCTTTGAATATTAGTAGCTCAGTCAGTACTTATGTTGTTGGTTTGAGTTCCAAGCTTGGCCATTTGGTTGCAAATGTTTCGTCCCATTTGAGGAGACATGAATGGGGACAAAATGTTTGCAACCAAATGGCCAAGCTCGGAACTCAAACCAACAACATAATTACGGTAATAAAATTGTAAGTCCATCTGCCCCAGAACTAAAGTAGCTTATTAACTAATTCCTGGCACCAGCAGGTGTGTTTAAGTATGGGGGAGGGGGAGGGGGAGAGTGAATGCACATAAACATATAAAAGCTCACACACACTTTATCCCACACCAATCCCATATATACACAACTCTCTTTCTTAACTAGCCAGTATGAGTTGACAACTTTGGCGATAACGTATTCACTTTCACTCCACTCACGACTGACTTCTTACAAAGATGTTATTGCTTTAAATTAATAATTGTATCCATTCTGCTTGCTTACTTATGTAATAAGAAAATTCCTACTTCAAACCATGATTTAAACATTTTATCAAATTATTATCAAATTATTTTATCAAATTATTGAATATTATTTCTGAGCCCTGCAAAATAATTTTATTAAACTAAGAACGCATGCTATATAGATTCGCACCAGGAGATAAGAGTCACAGAATTAGTACTAATAGACTTAACAATTTTAAATGATTCAATCCTAATTATTCTCCATAAAATAAACATATTTATTATGAAAACGGGAGGAATATTTTTATTACTTACAGATGCTCATCAAGTTTCTTTTTCAGAATGACTGACTATAAATGAAATAAAAAAGAATTACTTGAAACAAACAAAGCTGTATATTTTTATCAAATACTTTTAACTGAAGCATGATTGACATTCCTTATAGGGAAAAGAACTAGGCGGCCTAATTTCCTTCCTTATGTATTTACATGCAAATTCATGGTATTTATCTATCTCTTCGTATGCCAGAGCATCTAAAAGTAATTTATAATAAAAACAGCAGTACAAATAATTAAAAATACTTAAAACAATGCAAATAATATAAAGCAGTATTCTTTAAAAAAAAAATCCTTTAAAGATACAGAAAAAGACTTTTTTTTTCTTTCCAACATTCAAATTGAGAAAGGTTGGATGAAAGAGTGAGCTCTGAATATGTTCCTACAGATTATTAAGTCAGGTGCTCCCCCCAAAAGGGGCATCAGTGCTGTCATAGAGAAGCCCCCCCCACACACACACACACAATATTCAGCAGCTCTTGGTTTACAGAGCAAGGTCACGCCTGACGATTTCAGTGACTAACCCAGTCTAGTAACATGAAGGCAACTTGGGTCAAGTTATTGAGGAGTTAGTCTGTCATGACCGAAACCTTGAAAATAGTTCAACCACTGACAGCCAATACAGCTGCTTCAAAAGAGCCATAATATGTGCATAGCTACAGGCGTCACTCAGCAACCTAGCTGATGCAACGTGTACCGAACAAAAGGGCAGACCCATACAGAGGAGGACATTGCTATAATTTAAGTATGAAGTTACAAGCATGTGAATGAGTATGCCTGTGCAAGAAGAGGACATAATATGAATATCAGCGAAGAGCAATAACTCTAACCACAGAGGTCACCTGGATCTCCAGTGATAATGATAACTTTAGAAGCTCTTCTTTCTTTCTAAAGGAGTGAGACCCCATTTATAATAGATTAAATGCTCCAACTATGAATCAAGGAGCCACCCAATCCAAAACCTCCATCTTGTTCAGAATCAGTTTTATTTTACAGGTAGTCCTCGACTTATGACTGAAACTGAGCCCAAAGTTTCAGTTATTAAGCGAGACATTTGTTAAGTGAGTTTTGCCCCATTTCATGACCTTTCTTGCCACAGTTGTTAAGTGAATTATGGCAGTTGATAGGTTAGTAACACGGTTATTAAGTGAAGCTGGCTTCCCCATTGACTTTGCTTGTCAAAAGGTTGCAAAGGGCGATCACGTGACCTTGGGACACAGCGACAGTCATAAGTATGAACTAGTTCCCAAGCATCTGAATTTTGATCATATGATCACAGGGATGCTACAAAGGTCATAAGTGTGAAATATGGTCATAAGTCACTTTTTTTCAGTACTGCTGCCAACTTTGAGCAGTCATTAAATGAACTGTTGTAAGTCAAGGACTACTTATACTAGCATTCATCTACTCTATTACCACATCCAGATACTGCTTCAGAATATGCACGATTTCTACAACAAGGAGACCGAATGTCATCAACACACTGCTGACATCTAGTTGTCCCCAGCAGTTGTCGTAGAGCTATTAAAAAGCGCTTGAGGACACAACAAAAGCTACCAGGCTGTAAAGGCAGTCACCCAATCTATGCCACCTTCTCTGAAATTATCCCTGCAAGTAGTTTAACACAGTGCCCTTAATCTTCAACTCACAGACATAATCCAGGAGCACATTGGGGTCAACAAATGTCAAAAGCCACTAAGAGTTCAAGCAAAATCAACAAGAGTTATGTTTCCTTTATCTCTTTTCCAGAGACAGAGAAACATGACTGATTCGCTCCCGAAACCTATCTCCAGACTGAGATGAAAGAACTGTAAATATAATACAATTTAACAGCATTATAGCTGGGACTATAGGCTAAAATGTCTTTTGAAATTTTACAGAGGATGTTTTATGGATGAGACATACGTATTTCCATGGCTATTTTAAGTGCTCCGCATTTAAATCACCGGGAGTGCCTGGCAGATTTGGTAAGAATCAATCCAACAAACTCAACGATGTATGTATTTGGGGTAGCTCACATATGACAACACCAAAGCCCTTTTCCATAGTATGAAAAACACAAGAGGAAAAATGTGCATGTATGATTCGTAATTATCTGATTACCTGCACTAGTATTTCACATCAATTCCTGTAGTATAAAGGAATTTTATACTGTATTAAACAATCTCAACTAAATATAAGGTCCGTGTCATTTTGAGAAATAATTTGAGGAAATCCCTAAAGGATTAAACTTTTAATTCAGGTGCAACCTCAGACATTTCCAATCATTTGTATACCTGTTTATAGGAAAACATGCCACAGACTTGTGTAGAAGCTGCCAGAAGGACAACACGTACAAAAATAATCAAACAACAGATAGCACATAGCATGCAAAAAAGAATGAAAATCCTGTCCAATTAAATGTTCTTTTTTTAAAACATTTGAGTCACAAATGAGACTGATTCAGAGCAGGTTGAGATAAATAGGAAGCCATACTCACAATAGCCTTGTGCAGAAACCCATGCCAAGAGACAGAGGCGACAGTTTAGTACGAAGTGAACAGCAGCCAACAGAAGGAAACTATTTAGTATCTTTTTTCTGAAGAATATACAGTTAAAGCAAGGCATTCTCACAGAGCATGCACATTATCTTCTCTTTCTGTGCTCTCTAAGGTTTCTTTCTCCTATCTCGTCCTCTAGAGAATTCTGAAAAACTATCACAAAGGGGTGTTAAGGGTAGGAGTGAGCGTTCGTACTCAAAGCAGATGCTACAAGAAACAAGGTAACTTTATGAAAATATGAACTCAAACAGAGAAGAGTAAAAAAGGGATTATGATAATCCCAACTTTTTTTTTTTTTTTTGCATGGACAAGTTTTGGATGCAATATGTAGTAACAGTCTGCTGAACGTAACCAAGTACAGTCTATGATGGGGGACCGACAAAATGCTTACAATATATTTTATCCAAAACATCAGGTTCTTATTTGCATAATAAGTTAGTTTTTAAAATGATGATTATTTCAGTAATGATCAGTCGTACAATGTACAAAAATAAAACGGCTTGTTCACAAAATTAAAGGGGAGGCCATTGGGAGCCTCAGCACTTATGGTATAGTCTTGTGCTGTGAACATATTGAGCCATTTATCAGTTTCCTTTGCTCTGATGCGTTTATCATTCTTGGAAGGGAAAATAGCACCCTCATGTTATCATGGCTCCAATGCTGCAAATCAATGTTGGATTACATTGATATATGTTGCCAGTAAGTCAGAAAAGGAATCTTTATATCAAGAAAATTATTAGCTACCCAGAAAGCTGTAATTTTTACTGCTGCCACCTGTCCTGTATAGGTTTAAAGCTGGACGCCACTCGAGTCTCTAGCTGGAAATATCTACTCCAATCCCATCCCATCTCATCCCAGCTGTTCCTTTGACTATCCCATCAGATTTCTGACAGAGACCTGAATGCAAATGTTAGACTTTTTTTTTAACCACCAGTTTTCCTTTTGAAATTATCAACTGGATTTCATTAAAACGGTAGGGGGACAGGAGGTAGGCAGTTCATCAATTAAAAAGCGTAGAAATAGAAAATGACATTACTTTACCTTTATATACAAAGGTAATTAAATTTGTCAGAAAAATTAATATGATTAGCAGCAAAGTAGGGGGCACTAGAAATTTAGGGCCATGTATTTTTATATCTTTTCACTTACATCTTCAGCTTTTGATCCTTGCTCCTGCAAAGACTTCTGTAATTCTTCAGCCTGAGATTGCACTTCAATCAATCTCTGGTTTACAAGCCTAGAAATAAGAAACGAGATTTAACTTTTAAGTAGCAAGGAAGGGTTTGTTGTTCTAAAAGAATCATCAAGGATCTTGTGGGTGTTTAGAAATATTTGTGGAAATAATGGCCTCAAGCTTTTATTTTCTTATTAGCACATTCTACTGTCCTTCAAATGAATCAATAGCACTAAGTCTCTTCCTCATCAATGAAGTCACAAATATGTATTAAGCAAATCGCAGACTGTGAAATATAGTGGGTTTTTTTTTTTAATGAAGTTGATTAGTTTGCTGCCATGGGCTCCATGCTACTTCTCATTCTCATTTTTCCAACATCTCGAGCAGTTCAAGATCATACTGCTAAAATACTGCCAAACTATTGATGTTTTTCAATGCAATTTCTTGAGTTCTTCAAATGGAACCAGCACAAAACTGGGTACATATAGTCGTCTTATTTTTCTCTTCTTCTTTACTTCCTCTTTTACTGCTTTGGATGTCTAGGGAGATACAAAGTTCTGGTTCTTGCTCTTCTGACGGCCTCGAAGTCTTTCAAACTACAAGCCCATGTCTATATTGTGACAGTGGTAACAGGGCAAAGTAAGGGATTGCTAGGAGTGGGCGAAATATGGCGTGGCCTTGTATCACAGGTCCGTTAGGGTAGCCATGAAGGCCATCCTGGGTCAACTTGAAGCATCCTTGCTAAAGGGGCTCTGGTGAAGTTGCGACAGGCCCAGTAAAACTGCAATGGATAATATATTGCTGCAGAAATTATAACAAGGTACATATAGCAAAGCCTCCATTAGGCTTAACACATCTTTTGAATAAGAAACTTTCTGACCCTCACTCTGGTATTACCTCATCACTCCAATACATCCTTGAAGTCTTCAGACATTAATGCAGTCCCAGCTAAAAAATGTTGTTTTTATCTTTAAAGTAGAAGCAAGTGGTTCCAATCCACTTCCACCCCACTAGTCTAAGAGAAAAACAGCACCTTCTTACCTGTTCTCTGTTTCTAATTCATTCGTTCTCAGATTGGCATCATCCAAGAGACTCTGTAGCAAAGCAATCCTCTCATTGTCAGACCCCTCCTGGTTAAGTTTTAGCACTTTATTTTCATGTTGAAGGCGAATAAGCTTTTCCCTTGAGAAACAAAGCAGGACTAATGAAATAGTGTCACTCTCTGGGAAAGATTCATACCATCACTATAGAAAGTATGCATTGTGAAGTAATCATCCTACATTAATTGGACAGCATCAATCTACTTTGGATCATTTTTCTCAATAAATAAACAATTTAATTTTAGGCCTTGTGTTAGATCATACGTATGCAGAAATAATGAAAAAATCAAAGAGTCACAAACTTTTAGCCCCCTCCCGCTATAGCTTAATCTAGTTGACATCATTGCTGTACTTCTCCAGTCTTATTATCCTTGCAAATTTGCTTCCATCATATCTACGCACTACTTCATATACTATCTGTGTTATCTCTTCTCTTTTTCAAGATCTCATTAGTTCCACCCATCCATGTTCTTCCCTTTTCACTCTTTCTCTATAACCAAACCTAGATTATCTTTCACATTAATTTTCTCACATGCTCACTCCTGAGGCAAAAAATAGCTTGTCAGAAATTCTCATCACCCTTGCATTCTTCACTAAACCAATCTTTAACCATAAAACAATTTTTCACTATAAACGATCGCATCAATTATGGTTTTAGATTCATTCCTTTTCAATTTGTATAGGTAGTCTTTGTTTAGCAACTGCAATGATCATTCATAGTTACAATGGTGATGAAAAAGTAACCTTAGGACCAAACTTCTCATTTACAACCTTCAAAGATGTATAAAGCAAAGGAAAGCTTAAGTAAGTTCTAATTATCAGCCAGTTTCATTTAATGTCCATGCTGTTTAAGGACCAATTTTCCGATATCAACTGTCGTGACTAAATGAGGATTTCCTATATGCATCAACAGTACATTCCCATTCTTGTACTCTCTCTTCTCATTTCCATTCATCCACTTCTGTCAACAGAATTTTCCCCCTGCTTTTCTTCAAAAAGCTGTTCAATTTTTGTACAACTTATCTAATTCATACTTTTAAAGCCGCAGAAATAAAGATATTTATTTTCTCACTAGCTCCAGTTTAACATGAATTAATAATTTTATTGATATATTTTATAAACTATCTCTAATCCCATAAAGTTAAGAAACATACTTTTAATACTAGCTTGATTCAATTACTCCAATATTTCCATTTAAGTGCATCAGGGAGCTCCAGAGAAGAATACAAAGTATAACAGAAACTGAACAAATTCAATGAGTGAGGTTACAGTAAATATCAATTTTGGTCTATTTTATGCAAATCTGCTCACATAAAATAGACCATATAATTCCCCATCTCCTTTTATTCAACAGGATCTTCAATAGAATAGTTTAGTAGAGAGAATGCATTTTTATTAAAATGAAAAGAGGAGAAGAGATAAAAGTACATTCACAATTCTTGTGAAATTCAAGGAAGGATTAAATTGATTCAGGCCTACTGCAGATTTACTTTTCAAATATTTGCCTGAGGAAGATTAAACCCATTTTCAGTCAATTTAAAGGGAGATCAAATTTTAAACTGTGCAAGATCAGTAAGAACTATTAATCTTAGTCCTAATAAAATGTTAGTAATATATAAAATTAAATGTGTGATCATACAAAAATATTTTATGTTTATCTTACTTTATTTCTGGAGTAATAATTTCTGTTGCCAAACTGTCAGAAGATTCTTGACCTTCCAAAGGTAATAATCCTTTTTAGGGAATGGAGAAGAAAGAAAATATTAAACAGGATAGAATAGTAAATGAAAAGGTAAAAAAATTCTTTCAATTTAATTCTCCTGTCCAAACCCAATAAATATTTAAGCATGCAATTCAAAGTAAAAAAATAGCAAAACATGAGACAAAGTGTAAATACTTCTCCATACTAATTGCATCTGCAGATAACTGCCCAGTGACCCTTTTAAAGTGAGCTGTCTCCTCTTAGGGAAGGAGGAGATTGAGGTCCATCTGAAGGGGCGCGCTGAGGAATTTGTGGATTTTCTGGAAGACAAAATTGTTCGACTTTGTTCCCAGTTAGATGCCGGCGTGGTTGCTGATCCAGTGGAAGCTTCTGAGGCAGGTTCTTGCTCTGTTATCTGGGAACGGTTCGACCTTGTTGCTCCTGACGAAGTGGACAGGATCCTAGGGAGTATGCATGTGAGCACCTGTATTTTAGACCCATGTCCCTCCTGGCTTGTGAAAGCTTCCCAGGAGGTGACAGGCGGGTGGACTCTGGCAGTGATTAATGTTTCTCTACAGGAGGGGACGGTGCCCCAGCACTTTAAGGAGGCTGTGGTCCGCCCTCTTCTTAAGAAGCCATTGCTGGACTCCACCCGATTGGATAATTTCCGACCTGTCTCCAATCTTCCCTTTTTGGGGAAGGTTGTTGAGAAGGTGGTCGTGCAGCAGCTCCAGAGGTTTCTGGATGAAACGGATTATCTCGACCCCTACCAGTCAGGATTCAGGCCTGGATTTGGGACAGAAACAGCATTGGTTGCACTTTTGGATGATCTCTGGTGGGAGTGGGATGGGGGTAGTGCATCCATCCTTGCTCTACTTGACCTCTCGGCGGCTTTTGATACCATTGACCATGGGATTCTCCTGGGACGACTTCAGGGGATGGGAGTGGGAGGCCTTGTGCTGTCTTGGTTCACTTCCTTCCTCTGCGGCCGCTCTCAGTCAATGTTGATAGGAGGGGAGAGATCCAACCCTCACCCACTGCTTTATGGGGTTCCACAGGGCTCGGCACTTTCTCTGCTCCTGTTCAACATTTATATGAAACTGCTGGGTGAGATCATCCGTCACCATGGACTGAGGTATCACCAATATGCTGATGATACTCAGCTGTATGTCTCGGCCCATGGTGAGTTAAGTGTTGTTGTGTCCTCCCTCTCGCAATGCCTGGAGGCTGTTAGGGGCTGGATGGGAAGCAAACTAAACCCATGCAAGACCGAGTGGCTCTGGGTCTGGGGTTCGTTGGTTCAGGGAAAATTACCACCTTTAGTCTTGGATGGGGTGGCACTACCCCAAACAGACCCTGTGCGTAATCTGGGGGTTCTCCTGGACTCACAACTCCTGTTTGAAGAGCAGGTGGCGGTCGTGGCCAGGAGGGCCTTTGCGCAACTGCGGGTTGTGCACCAGTTACGCCCTTTCCTGGATCAGCGGTCCCTACTCACAATCACTTATGCTCTGGTCACTTCCCATTTTGATTATTGCAACATGCCCTACATGGGGCTGCCCTTGAAGAGCATCCGGAAGCTCCAGTTGGTGCAAAATGCAGCGGCCCACATGGTTTTATGCAGACCCCGGTGTGCACATGTATCCCCTCTCCTTCAGGAGCTGCATTGGCTGCGAATTTGCTTCCGGGTGCAATTCAAGGTGCTGGTTGTCACCTTTAAAGCCCTTCATGGCTTGGGTCTGTGTTATCTGAGGAAACATCTCTTGCCAGTGACATCTACCTGACCCATTAGAGCGAGGAGGCAGGGAATGCTGCGGGTCCCACCCCTGTGGGAGATATACCTGGTGGGACCTAGAAGAACGGCCTTCTCAGTGGTGGCTCCGTCTCTCAGGAACATCATTCCCCCAGAGATTAGAATGGCCCCCTCATTAATACTATTCTGAAAGGCACTGAAGACCTGGTTTTGCCAGCGGGCCTGGAGAACCCAGAGAGGGATGGAACCCATCAGATGGCTGATGTGATCCGCTGTCGTTGGGGTTGGGGGTGGGGGAGTTGGTTTTTGTTTTGTTTTGCTTTTTTCCCCCCCAAATTTTATTCTATTGTACTTTACTAATTTATTTGATTCTTTTTGTTAGTTCTTATTGTTTTTATTTTTATTTTTTGTTTTAAATATGATTTTACATTGTGTAAGCCACCTTGAGTCACCATGGGCGAATAGGCGGCAATATCAATCAATCAATCAATCAATCAAATACATACATACATACTTACATTAAAAAAAAACATTATCGTCTCTTAAAATTTCCCTAAATATATACCTTTTCAAGCCTGTAATAAAAATTCGCAATCTGGTAAATAGCGATTTGTCTTAATTCTTACTTAAGCAACTCCAATATTCACTAAACAAATTACATGATAAATAGTTCCTAAGTAAGTACTATTCCTTTCAATACTCCAACAAGAGGGAAAAAATGGAAAAAGTGTTGCAAGTTTTAATAAGGGATATAATTTTCTCACAAACCATTGCATTTCCAGAATCTTACCTGAAGTAGTTAGTTGTCCTTCTTGTGCTTTTATACAATGGATCTCTTCAATTGTTTCCTTTAAAGAATCTCTTTCTGTCCTTAGCCGCTACAGAGTTTAAAAAGAAAAATATTTCACTATTCCAGTATACAGTTCATAAAGGATGAAGTTATGTTACAGATAGTTCTTGTCTTATGCTCATAATTGGGACCGAAATTTCAGTCATGATTATAAAGTGAGCGCATCATGTCATTGGTCATGATTTTACAATCATTTTTACTGCAATTGTTAAATGAATTACCACAGTCATTAAGCAAATCCAGCTTCTCCAACTGACTTTTTTTTCCCTCAGAAACCATCTGGGAAGATCACAAATCACAAGCAGTTTTAAATGCAAGCCAGCTGACAAGTAGCTGAATTGTGATTACATGACCGCAGGGATAGTGAAGTGGCCCTGTGAGAACAGATTGTAAATCATCACTGCATCACATTGTTTGTTCATGTTCAGATGGCATTTCACAAGCACTCACACATATAAATATTTTACAATTACATACTTAGAATTCTAAAATCTATTATTATTCAAAGGAAAATAAGCTAACTAATATTTCTGAAGTACATAACAGATTGGAGTCATAAAATGGGAAGGAATATTTAATTATATATATGGCCCAATACTTCTGGTGGAAAGCTATTAAAATCCATGAAACCTTTTAACAATAACCTTAGAAAATACTAATGATAAAGTTAGCAGGAATCATATTGCTACGATGTTCCATATTAATGGAAGCAAGTCAACAAAAACTAAGTAAAAAGTCAACAACTGATATGTGGATTTTCATGATTACAGAAGCAACCGTAAAAAAGAACTGCAGTACATTATGGTTTATCAACAGAGCAATGCTTGCTTAAGTACACTAGCCCATCACAAAACTTCTTGTTATTCCTGGGCTAATGAACAACTAAATTCTCTACTTGCTCAATTTATTATATCTTTACATGGATTATAGGGAAAGATAATCTAGCTGAATAGACACAGATATAGATTTCAAACTTTATCATGAGATCTGAGATAAAGAAAATGAAACAGAAATATTTTTTTACTTGAAATAAAAGACAAACATGATAACCTAGATCTGAAAGTATACACATTAACATGATATGTAAAGCCAAATAAAGAGAAAACAGAAGAAAACACAATAGGTATATAAATAAATCTAAATTATGATTTTGTATTAGTTAAGCATAGCTTCATAATGATACAGTCCCGTTTCCCATCATTATCTGTTTTCTTTAAGTGATTACTTAATTTTAACTCAACCAGCAAATTAATTAAATTATCTGTCAGGCAAACCCACAAATTTGCATAAAACAGTAGTGGAACCTTGCACAAAATCAAGAGAGAAAAGGGAAGCACAAAGAATTCCAAAAAGCAAAGCTATTAATTAAGAATTAATTAAGAAAATATACTAAAAACAAATTGTATCACTGAATCCTCAAGTGGAAGAGGATATTTTTAAAAGATGATAAAAAAGTCAAGATCAAAAGAAAAGTAAAAAAAAAGAGCAGTAGAAAACGGAATAATTCAGACAGCTGACTACACATGCATAATAAAGATATATAGACAATATTTAAAATAGCCAGTTTAATTATCAATATTTTAAATATAAAACGGAACAGCAAGATTTATATGTTGACTACATACATCTTTTTCTTTTTGGAAACTATCTACTTTTTCTTTCAGCATCTTATACTCAAATTCTAGCTTGTCTGCTTTTTTGGATTCTTCAGACAATCTGTTTTGAAGTTCAACCACCTGCAATAGCAAGAAGGATCACAATGTATCAATATGAAAGTGTAAACCTTCATTAAGAGCCAGTAATAAAGATAAATCACAGCAACCTTTAAGTTGACACTTTCTTCTTCCTTCCTCTCCTCTTCTCTTCAGCTTCTCATTTCAATTAATTAGACTTATTCAAATCTACATCTATGACATTTCAATGGTAACGCAAACCTGGTTAAATTTATTTACAATGTTTTAATCTTTTAAATTCTATGCTGAATTCAGACATAACAATATTTTTCCTGTTAGGTTAAGTAGAAGCTTCAAAATGCTCCATATTGATCAAACTAAGAGACATAGGAAATATATAGAAATATAGACAGTCAAATTGTATTTTTGTTCATTCCTGTGCTCACCTGCCTCTTATATGTTTCCAATTGGCTACGAGCTGAATTGGCTTTCCTCAGTTCTTCTTCCAAGCTCACCGTGTTTTGCATGTACATTGTGTTTTTCTCTTCCAAAAGTTTTACTTGCCTCCGAAGATCTCCAAGATCTTCTAGTTTCTTTTTGTATGAATGTACTTGGCTTTCCAACTTGGTTACTTTGTCAGAATTGTGCCTGGAAAGAGAAGTGTTGCCAAGACTTAATTTTTAGAATCTCTTTTTAAATATATTTCAGTTTATTGGAAGAGTAGCCTTAGATTCATCTGTTTTAAGTAAATATTAAAGCTGTGCTACTTGCAGGGAAATGGGAGAGGAAAATACATTCAGCAATTCTTGATCTTCACTGAAGACAGTGTATACCTGACTGCATTCAGTCATGGCACATTGGGACTTTCCAGTATTGGGACCTCAATCCCCTTGGAAACAGACAACAAGAAATCTCATTTTTCTTTTTGTATTTGGAGGAACACCTCCAAAGTTGGAGTGGTCACTCTAGACAATCTTATGTGTTCCTAGAGTACTTGCCAGTTCATCATCTAAAATCTCATAGCAGCTGGCAAGGAATTAAAAAGGTGAATTGATAACAAATTAATGAAGACATAATCATCCTACAGCATTATATAAAACTTCTCAGGCTACAATAAATGGACAGATACTATCCAAAAAAATTAAGATGGGGTCCAGCAGTACAACTTTTAAAAAACCCATGTCCAGTTCTTACAGTGATTTAACTTGGAAGTAAGTATCCAAATAAGTTTACATTGGTGTTAGTGATCTTGCTTACTACAGTACTTAATATTAATTGGAGCTACTAGACAATTTTCAGGGAACATCACATGTAATAATTGTGTTACTGAGCATAGCCAACTTTAGGGGCAGGGTTTCTGAGGGATCACCTTTTTCTAAGAGTCTCTACCCATCCAACTAGATCAAGCAGAATGGGCATGCTGCAGATCCCATCAGCCAGAATGTTGACTGATGTGAACCAAAAGATGAGCTTTTTCCACAGTGGCCCCTGCTCTATGGAACATCCTCCCTTCAGAGATTGGAATTCCCCCAATCCTTGTTAGCCTTTCATAAGGCCTTAAAAACCAGGCTATGTTCCCATGCCTGGGGTGCCGAATGTGTTAAGAGGCCCTGGTTTCTTGGCTGTATTGCTAACTGCCCAAGTATCTTGCTCCTATGTATATTTAATCTGGATGTTTTTAGTGTTTTAATGGTTTTAATTGTAATGTATTTTTTGAATTGTAATCAACGGATAATGAACCTATATCAGAAAGTATATAACCTAAAGGATTAAAAATTATTTACCTTAATACATCCATCTCATCTTTCAGAGATTGAGCTTCTTCAGCCAGATTTGTTAATTCTTCATTTTGTTGCCGTAAGTCTACAATTTCCTTTTCTAACTCTTCGCAACGAATTCTATAATCATCTTTTGCTGCTTCTAATCTGAAAGAAAACACTACACTATATTACATAGGGAAAAGTACTTACAATCAAGATTTGAAGTTCTCTTCTGGGTATCTACTTTAAAACAAACAGACAGACAAATAAATAACCCTGAATTATGCCAATTACAAGGAAAAAAATCCCTTGGATATTCAGAAAACATTCAACAACAGCAAATCATAACTTTCACCCTCTCAACATTTGCAGAAACTATAACTTAATTCTTATTGGGTACATATATTGAGGTAGAAACATGGTTCTATTAGCAGGCTTTGGGACTCCAGGTTGATTCACCTGGAAGGTTGTATGATTGTATTTGTCACTGCCATGTTGTTGACTTTTAAAGCTCTATGTCATATCACCATGAGTTCAGTGGCCATAAACAGTGAATCTATTTAATTAATAAATACTACTACTTAGTAAAAAAAAATATACTTATGCATACAACCTTTGAAAGCCATTTGTTTTCCCTAAAGAAGTGAAAATATTCTGTGGATCCACATCAAACTACCAATTGGATCCTTCTAGGCTGCACAGCAAATAATGAGAAATTAAACAGAAATATATCCAAGAAGTTAGAAGTGAGACATCAAGTAGCCTTTTAATTATGTGTTTTTAAGGTCAGCAAAATGAATGATCAATGCCACTTCTATGCAAATCAGGCATAAAAGTGGAGAATTTAACAGCTTTTTTATTTAAGGATTATTAGCAACTGTAAAACATTGCACTGATCTAAGTCACCATCAACATAAACATACACATTTTCTTTCAGCTGTTATTGTTATTGCTTTACAAAAACATCTCTTTAGGATCCCAGCAATACAGATTTTAATTTATACATCAGTCACTGATCCAAAAAGTATTACAAATAGACACACCACACAAACACTTAGCAATTACTAAGAAAGCTTTTTAGTATTTTATTCATAAAGTACTTTTTAGAATCTTACTATATAAATATTGTTGGCTGGTGATCACAATAATAAAGATTATGTAATCAATCCTGACTGGCTCAAGGCTGACTCAGCCTTTCATCCTTCTAAGGTTGGCAAAATGAAAACCCAGATTGTTGGGGGCAATAAGCTGTCTCTGTAAACTGTTTAAGGAGCTATAGTTTATCCTGATTTGTTTAATAATAAAATTAATTTTAAATTTATTGGAAACTCTTTATTCTAATGGCAGATAAGAATGAAATGAGCATTTCTTAGTGGCTAGTACATTATTATGGAATTCTCACCGGAAGGTTTCCTCTTGGAGCTGTTCCAACTGTGTCTGGAGCTGTAGATGTCTACGTCCTGCTGGACTGTTTGGGTCTTCTATGGAATCAGACTGATTTAAGCGTTCCATTAAGACCTGGTTCTCTGCTAACAAACTACTTTTCTCTTCCTGCAATGCGGCAACCTGTAGCCAAAATGCAATAATAAATGCACCATGTTTGACCAAGAGCATACTTTGGCAATATTATGAAAAAACAGTATAGCACTTTGTTATATATACATATAACAAAGTTATATATACATATAACTATGTGTTACAATGAAATATCCTTCATCAGTACCATTTCCTTCTAGGACTAACAACAGGGGTTCATGTATTTGCATAGATGTGCAGTAGGTTATCCATCCCTACATATACTCACTCACCTATACCTTACTGCTTAACCAGAACAATTTAGATGTACCTTCTTCTGAAACTAAGATACCTTGAAGGATTCTTCTATTATTACTTCTATTATGAATTCAAGATTGCAGTTCTATCCATAGTTCATTTGGGATTAATATTTTAATGAAACCAGCAAGATTTATTTGGAAACACCAAAAAAAGATGATATTGTAATGATATTTTAAGAATTAGATTACACAAAGTTCCTCTAAAATATCATCATCACCATCATCATTCAGGGTCAATTAAATGCAACTAAAATCCTCCTCATTGGCTCCTCAGAAAGAACTCAAAAAGAACTTCACTGGTTCTTTTTATGACCAACCCTCATTTATTGATATACTTGAATAAAACAGACTTTGATTTGCTGTAAAACATAAATCAGGAAGAAGGTAAGGAGACTTATGTAGGACACTATAAAGGCAAAATTCTACTACGAGAAGTAGTTCTACTAGACTTTTTGAAGTCTGCTTAAATTGTTTATTTAAAATAATGTATTCACTATTTTAGTCAACCTTACAGACTGTTCACTTATGAACCAACCTAGTTCTTTCAACTTTCACAGGAAAAATTTGGGGTGTTTTGATAAGGTAACAATGAGCAAGGCAAAAAACACAATGTGGGAACACTGTTATTATTGTTCAGTTTCTCCCTACTTGGGATGATGCTCTGCAGGAGTTTTCTTTGTTTTCTAACCCAGGTGTAGCATATGTCAGAGCACAAATTATTCTTTCTATCTCAGAATGGGAAACTGTACAGTGGCTATGGGTTCATCAAAAAAGCAGCTGAAAGCCTACAGACTACCTTCCCCTGTTCAGGCAACCCTGCAAATTACAGCAAAATTCTGTGCCTACTTGCATATCCAGTTCATGGCATCTCTGAGCAATTTCTTCTTTGGTTGCTAAGGCTTCGTTTAATTCTTCCGTTGTTTTCTTCAACTGTGTTTTTAAATACAATATATTTTTATTTAATAAAAATGGTGATATGAAAAATAAAAAAGAATAGGGATCCAAAGAATTCATTTATCTGTTTTTAAAATAATTATCCATGCCCTCCTAATTTATTTTGACAAATCATCTGCAAATTTTTTTGTTTCATGGAGATAAAATCTACCAGAATATTTTTCTATTGTGTATACATGGCAAAATCTAAAATACTTTGTTATTCATACACTAATTAACTTTGGAGCCGCAGCATCCAAGTCATACAAATCATGAAACAATGATATTAAAATATAATTGTAGTTAAGTTTCAATCATATATCTCTGGATGCAGCTCTAATGGAGAACAACCAGAGATGTTTATACATTGATGGCATCAGATTAGGGGCATATCATCCTGGAGAAAATCTATCCATGTGGTCACTAAAGATCCACAATGACTTGATGGTACGTAATCCATCAGGTAAATTTAGGCATTACAATTTTTCAATATAAGAAAATGTATTATACATAATGCTTCAAGCCTTACAAGCTTTCCCCTTAAAGAAGTAATGTGCTGATTTCAACTGTTTTTGTACATACATGGACCAGGAAAGGAAACACAACAAATAAAGATAAAATCTTCAAAGAGTGTTCTCTATTATAAGAAATGTGTATGCAAGCTATTATTTTGTAGTAAACAGTTCAACATCACAAACATTTTATATCAGCAGTAGACCAGGAAAGGTGGCTTCTTTAAGGAAGATCTCTTACCAGGTCAGATTACTTGATCCAACTATCTCATTTCTGTCTATTTTATCAGGTTTTTTGCTCATTTTTCAGTAAAGAAATAAGGGACTCAACTGCATATCTGCATTCAGAGTAGTTATCCATTCTAATTCAATGAAATACAAAATGTTTGTGATGTTGAAACTGTTTACTACAAAATAATAGTTTGCATAAGTATTTGTTATAATAGCCAAGAACTCTTTAATATGGCTTTAGAAATATCATACAGGTAGTCCTCAATTTACAACCACAGTTGAGCCCAAAATTTGTTAAGTGAGGTTTGCCTCATTATTTGAATTTTCTTAACAGATTTGTTCAGTGAATCACTGCAGTTGTTAAATTAGTTAACACAGTTGTTAAGTGAATCTGGTTTCCCCATTGACTTTGCTTGTCAGAAGGTCGCAAAAGTTGATCACATGACCCTGGAACCTTGCAACCGTCATAAACATGAGTCAATTGCCAAGCATCTGATTTTTATTCATGTGACCATGGGGATGCCGCAACGATTATAAGTGTGAAAAATGGTCATAAGTCACTTTTTTCAGTACTGTTGTTAACTTTGAATGGTCACTAAACGAACTGTTGTTAAGTCATATAAGATAAATGCAACTTAAGAACAAATAGTGTATCCAAAGCAGGCAGATGTCAAATTTGATGTTCCCCCAAATGCTGGGAAATAATTCACTCATATTAGATAAATTATTTTTGAAAAACATTCAGCATAATTTCAAATTCTTTCAAAGTAATTCTGCCTATTGAGAATAATGGCATGAAACATAGTCCCAATTATATTCAATACTATATTGCTGCATTATATTCACTAATTTGTTAATGTACTGCATTTAATAACCTGAGTAGCATTTCTTTAAAATAATCAAATGTTTTAAAATAAATATTGGCAAGTTTAAAAATTTGCTAGTTTAAAAAGAGTCATAGCATTTTTGAGATAAAGCCAGTTTGACTGTTGAGATGGCAGAGAAAGAAAATAATGCTACAAATTAACAATTTGATTTTATATGTAAAGAGAAAATATGAAAAAATACTGTTGTTTTTTACTCAATGCCAGTAGTATTAGTTTTATAAAATCAGATGTTTTTGCATCTCTGGCTTTGCCTGTAATTAGCTTTCAAAATTTCACACTGGACCCGATAAGCAGACTTTTGCTTTGATCTCATTTCTGGTAACTAGATTTTTAAAAAATCAAAATGTAGCATAACAGTGTTAAGGCTGCCTTTTGGCAATGATACTAACATAGTAATTAAGTTACTTTATTGATGTTAATTGTAACTTCTACAATTTACCAGTTCTAATAAACTAATTTGCTGTCTGCTTCCTTTAAACTTTTTCCAAATAAACTAAAGAAATAAACTGATAAAAACAAGGCAAAATAGATGGGTGGCTCCAAAATTAAAACTCTACTAATTGAACTCTACTAATTGAACTCTACTAATGTAGAGAAAATTTAGCAGCATTGGTTACATACCTGACGGTCAAGATCAACGTAACCATCATTTCCAGCAGTGACTGGAGACTCTTTACTCATCAACTGCAATAAGATCACACTGGATTAGAAAAAGCAAAAGACTCGTTTGTATCTGTGTAAGAATTAAGGGCATTTAAAATATAAGGTACTGTATTATGGTGTTGGGTATGGCCTTACTTAATCAAGAAAGTAATTTACATTTTACTGTTTGGTTCAACATAGCTAATTTTAAGGAGAGAGTTAAGAATTAGAAACATTATTTGTAATGTTTAAAAAAATGCTTGGACTGCATATATAGAAAACAATATTTCTATATTTTCAACTTAAAACCACTTATTGCTCCAGTACAATGTTCAGTTTATGAAATATTAAAACTATACATATGATAACATCAGGATATACTGAAGCAAACTCACTTATTATTAAATCAGTAATATATGAAAAACTTTTAAGATTTGACCCAAAGGTGCTTTTTTTCAAGAGGCAACTGGACTTTTGGTTTTTCTTTGAAGATGTTGAAGCACCTTTGGGACAACCATCACCTGGATGACTGAGAATCTCCATAGACTTTTAAGATTTGATTTTTGCCTTGTATTGCTAGAAAGACATATATTTTAAACTAAGCCAAGGACATTACAGGTATAAATCATGAAATAAGACTATGAATGTCAACAATATGAATTTAAAAAACACATGCTTACACTATACATATTTTTCATATATCAAAAACTATCCAAGGTTATATTATAATCCACATTTAATAATGGTGTGAAAAAACATATATTATTTTATTTCAAAAATGAATCCAAATTTGTCACAATAAATATTTTAAATATATCCTTCCTTATTCAAAAGCAAAAAGATCTGATGACTATGTTTAAATGTTTTCCCCAATTCTTTTGAGCTTAGTTAGCAGGTAGCAGAAAATAGAATTGTTGCTGGATTTAATACTTGAGCACGTAGGGGACGCTGCAGAGTCTGGGCGATGCTAGCACAGCACACAGTATGGCAGTTTCTAGGGTGATGTGTGCTTGCTACACAAGGGGGTTGCATAGCGAAGTCTGAAGACTTGGAAGCTAAATGCAGAAATATGCCTGTTAGTGTCGCTTGCTCCACAAGGTGGCAGTAGAGGTTGCGTAGCGAAGTCAGAAGACTGGATGGCTAAACGCAGAAATATGCATGGAAGATGCTGTTGCTATGCCCATGTTAGGTTGCAGTTAATCCTGGAACCTTGAATTAAATTGATTAAATTGTCCACAATAATTGCAAAAAGGGATTATCATTGGATAAACACTCTGGTCAAATTTGAGAAACTGGGTAAAAAAAAAATCAAACTCTGGGAAATTTCTCCTTGAGCCCCAGATGTAGCTGTGGACTGCTTTGCTTAGGTCTGTTAGGTTGCAGTTAATCTTGGAACATTTGAATTAAATTGATTAAATTGTCCACAATAATTGCAAAAAGGGATTATCATTGCAAGCACGTATTGGTAAACTCTGGGAAATTTCTCCTTGACCACCAGATGGTGCTGTGGGATGCTTTGCTTGAGT